TAGCAGTAAATATACTTATGGATAACAAGAATATTAGTAGTATTAGTACTATATGAAAAACAGAAGTAGTAACAGAAAAAGTAATAGTAGTACTTAATGTAATTTCAGTACTACATGTACTACTTCTTAACTACCACTACTTCATTTTCTCAAACTATTTCTTTTTGTCACATAGTTGTAATTCTAGCTAAAGTTGCTTTATAACTTTATCTACTACTAGTATCTTTAGCTTAGCTTTAGCTTAGCTTTAGCTTTAGCTCATATAGCTAGCTTTAGTCCAAGCTGTTTTGCCAGCTGTGAAGAAAGCTGTATTGGAAGCTGTAGCTTTAGCTACTAGTACTACTATACCACTAGAAGTAACACTACTAGATCCAGTGCTAATCTAGTACTAACTATAGCTATCTACTAGTAGCTGTAGCAGTAAATATACTTATTGATATAATAAGTTAATACACTGTAATATACGCTAGAGACTTAGCTAATATAGATATTACCATGGTATGAGGGCATGAAAGGTGTTTTAATTGTTAAAGAAAAGAAGAAGTGTGACCAAACAGCTGATTCTGGCTGTTTTGCTGTATTTTCGATGGCTTAACCTTAACCCTAATCAGTTAATCGTGCGAGGATACGATTCAACCTCTACATACGGTTTAACCTCAACCCCAATCGTACAGCCCGTACGATTCATTCCTACCGTACGTACGAGTGAAGCATCGATGCTCGTTCGTACGAGTGACTCAATACGAGTGACTCAATACGAGTGAAGCATCGATGCTCGTTCGTACGAAAGCCCGATTTCATCACTCGGTGCTTTTTGTTAGCATTTTTATGGTGATTTCCGACCATGGTTCGAACGATCATTGGTGCTTCATTTGTTATTTGTTACGTTGCACGCCACCACCTGCAATCAGTTATATATGCTGGCATCTCATTCCCGTAACTTTATTGTTTTACGATGTTTCTTATAGTTCAAAACCCTACCGGCTCTACGACTAAAAACTCTCTATTGGATAGTTTCTGGAAATTCCACCCCCCCAGACCCCCCCTCCGCTTTGCGAACCAATTACAGTCAAAAACTGTTTTAGTCTTCTTTTTTAATGTTTTCGACTTCCATGATTCTTGTTCTTATGCTGTAACATACCGTACTAGAAGAACTTACCGGTACATCGTTGCTTTCCCGTTCGGTCAATCGGGTCGTGATCGTGAATGTCTTGGGCCCTCCGAGATTACATGGGCGCAAATTCAGATTCAGAAAGCCCCCTTTTCTGATTCTGATTTTCTGAAATCCCCCAGAAAATTCCATCGCATTTTGATAGAAGCATGTTCTTTTTCCCAAGCTGCATTAATAATGGTTGCAATTTCTAGGAAAGAAAAGACAATAAAAGGTAGCAGAGTTCCAGAAATATGCTCGTTGGAGGGGAGGGGAATGACGAACCGGATCGCTGGGAGAATCGAAAAACGAAAAGGGCTATGGCAAAAACTACCTAGAGGTCACTAATCGACTTCAGAGAAATCTTTTGAACTATTCTATCTCAGTGTAACGATCTTAAACACATAAAGAGGCAATRCCATTTTGAGCCAGTGAAGCTTGCTATTCTTGATTTCAGTCAACGAATCAAATCTATAAGTCGTATTCATATTCCAAGATATGTAGCTGGGTACACCTGCTTATTATTTTGTATCTGAATTGTTTTTTGGGATGAGTGTCCCCGTTGCCAAATCAAATTCATCCCTCTGCGCAATCGATATTCCAGTTCCACTGCTTGCATAGTAATATCCTCCCTCATTGACGAACATCACGAGGATTGGAGACCCGTGAGATCCATCGTATGGTATTACTTCTCCATCTAAATCGACAAAGAGAGGATCGCCTGTCTTGATCTCTTTGAAATCTTGGTCCTGTACATCCTTGTGCACCAGCCATTGCGGGAAGTTCTCGTTGTCTGGATCCGACGGCCACACCAGTTTGGCGGACATTTCACCCTTCCTTATGGCCGCCGCAGACCGATAACATGGGATTCTTCCGGTGGGATAGCACTCCTTGAGTTCGTCCAAAAGCTTTTCTGGTTCTTTTTCGTGTCGTTTCAAAAACTCCAAAGCACTGTTCAAGGCTGCTTGCATTTCTTCCACTTTGTCATGTCGCAGGACCCCTTGCGGAACCTTTGTTTGCAAGGCGAGGAACGGACAACGATTACGAGTTCAATTCAAATCAAGGAACGCCAAAAAGACAAGATAAAAACAAGTAAAAAAGGTCAGTCAGTAATACAGTATAACGAATGGCAAACATTTCACAACAGCTGGAAATTATGATGCGCTGCGAAAACCTGCCAAGCCATGACCCAAAGGATCGTGGCACATAGAGGTAAATCTCGTCGTCAGCTTTCGATCAGCATCACCACACAGAAACAGGCATCGTCGGTTCGATAAGACACGAAACCAATTCTGAACTCACGGGACCAATTTCGATCGTAAACGAGTGCGGCGCAATGGTGGCGAGGTTCGGACGTGCTTCCTGATTTTTATGGGTGTGCATCATAATGCACACGTTGAAGTTCTTTTCACGACACTTATGCATGACGTACGCCGCCGCTTGCGTCGTAAGGGGGTCGCCTTGGCCGACAATCAGGGATGTGTGCATGTTTGAAGTCGTTGTGTGCAGGTCGATGATGAAATCCATGGCAGGGGGCTTATTTGTGCCCTCATCTCCGCTGCCGCCAAACTTTGGCCCCAGCAAGTCGTCGATTTCTATTGCTCGTCGTTGCTCCACCGACAAGGCACTAGGAAGCGAGGCCTTTGCAGCAGCCATAGCTGCTCCAGAGAATTGCCGGTTCAAATCCTGATCGACGAACCGTTTGTTCGCTTTGAACGCCTCGGGATTTCCGATTAGCGTCGAAATCTGAAACGGATAGCTTGCGCTGGCGTTTCCTTTCGATAGCTGCCGCTCGAGGGCCTTGACACAGAATACCCCCGTGTACTCGTTTCCGTGCGTGCCACCGACGACCGCCACGGTTCGAACAAGCGATGAAGCTCTCTGCATCGTTGGATGGACGGTGCCCGATACAAGCATCAAGAGGAGGTGAAACACAAAACCAATKGAAACAGCGAGCGTTTTCGACAAGGTCATTCTACTTCGCTTCTGTTCGAGGATAGACCAAATTTTGAATAGTTGAATGAAAGAAGCCCTGTAGCAACCAAAAGATACGTACGGTACTTAGAGTGGCGTTACTGCGAGATTGGAGAAAGATGTGCGGTTCGGACTGGTCGGTACTGACTGATACGTGTATCCAGATCAAACTCTCGAGAGTCTAACGCCCTGCTCAGTTTCCTACGAGAGAGAAAATGGAGGTACGACTCGTACGAGTAGAAGCTTCGAGAAGACCCGTCCGGWCCCCGGTACGTAGTACGTACGGTACTGGTAGGACTTCACGAAGTAATATTGATACGGTACCGTAYTTACCGTACGTACGTACGGAACTTACGAATATTGAATCAACAATCAACAACCAACAATCAACCACTGCTTMATGCTTCAGCGATCAGTGAYATCTCCACAAACCTTCACACAACAGAAAGTTTCGAATGAACTCTGCCTGTACATGTTGACATGCGCTTCAGCATTGAATTCATAGCCTGCACTTGCCAAACACAAGACGAGAATCTGGATTCACATCGGATACACCAAAAATAGGCACAGTCATGCTTGGTTCCATATCTAGAATCGGCTATGTTTTGCCAAGAAGATGTGTTTCCCACCAATCGTCGTCCATGTGCCRTCTTTTCTCTTCCGTAGCCTACAGCAGCAGCTGTAGTATCCCCAGACATTTCTCAACGGTAGCGCCATCGATTGTTGATGCTTTTGACCGCAGCTATGAACAAAAACGAGGGATCAGCACCGATTATTCCAAGAAACGACCAGAAAAGAACAAGGACAAAAAACGAAGAGGAGGCAGGCAATCCTATCGATTCGTCGATCGAACGCGCGTTCAGGTATCGGGGGGTTCGGGYGGAAACGGATCTAGATCGATGCATCACCTCGGGAGAAAGCGGAAACGTAAACCGGACGGGGGCCACGGTGGAAACGGAGGATCGGTGCTGATCATTGCGGATCCGAAGGAACAGAGTCTGCGCTGGACACGCCCGCATTTGACTGCCGAATCGGGAGCCCACGGCGGGAGCAACGGGAAGCACGGGCGAAACGGAAGGAATACCATATTGCGCGTTCCTTGTGGGGTGGTGGTGCGCCGAGTGCTGGAACACGACGAATACTACGACGACGAGACGAAGACGATTCAAAAAGTGAGCGATGCGCTTGTGGTCCAAACTAACGATGAGGAGTCCTACGAATTGTGGGAAACGAAGAGTCCTAGTCCCACGGAAACAAGGGTGAGAGATGGCTATGAGCAGACCCTAGAAGATTTGAATCGAAATCGCCAAGCAGGTGGATATTTGGCGTCGCTCGACTACGACAGCGACGACGACGACTGTAACGATGAGAGTGACGATGACGAAAGAGTATTCTACAATTATGATGGCAGCGACAGCGGTCTTAATTACGACCAAATTGAACCGACCATGAATTTTACAGCATGGGGAGAAAAAGAAAAGGTCGAGATAGCTGATCTAGACCAGCCGGGATCGCACATTGTTGTCGCGAGGGGAGGTCGAGGTGGATATGGAAATTCATCCTTCGCCAGCATCAATGGACCATTGCCGTCCCCTGAAATCATGGAAAAATACGCCGAACCAAAACCGGGAGAATGCTGTAGAGTTGAATTAGAGCTAAAGCTGATTGCCGATATTGGGCTTGTAGGATTTCCCAACGCTGGCAAATCAAGCCTTCTTTCCGCTACCAGCAGAGCTACACCATACATTGCTCCGTACCCATTCACTACACTGAATCCTTTGGTTGGTTACATAGAATACAAGGATGGATTTCGTGTATGTGCCGCTGATGTTCCTGGGCTCATTGCGGGCGCGTCTGAGGGCAAAGGAAAGGGGCACGACTTTTTGAGRCATTTAGAACGAACAAAGGCCCTCCTTTATATTGTAGACGCTGCGGGAATCGATGGAAGAGATCCAGTGGAAGACTTCGAAGTTCTAGTCCAAGAGCTGTCAGCGTATGGAGATGGGGATATGCTGAATAGAAGATGTCTTTTGGCGGCAAACAAAATCGATCTGCTGTTAGAGGACGAGCGAGAAGAGGTATTTGCTAATTTGCAAGAGAGAGCCGAAGAATTAGGTATCCGAATAGAAACGGATGTCATTGGAATCAGCGCTGGTGCAACCGGTGAAAATCTACCCCTTCTAACCAAATCCATAAGAAAAACGGTACTATCCAGCGATAACGATAAGGCAAGTGAATATGGATACGGGTGATAACTGTGCTTGTGGCAATTGATCAACTTCGTTTTAATTGAATAAATAGCATTTAGCCGCAAAAGTCACGTTTGAGAAGTCTTTAGTTCATGTCGTAGCATCCCAAAGCATTTTCTGGAGGTTCAACCCGTTGATCCCTCATATTCATTCGATTCAAAATAGGTCTCAGGGGAGCGCTGCCAAGAGTCAGGGTTCGATAAGACCCTATGACAATTAGTTTGTACTTGGCTCGCGTAAAAGCAACATTTAGCCTTCTCGCATCTTGGAGTAGGCGCCCGGTGTTGTTCTTTTCATTACTGCGTACTAATGAAAGGATGATTGTAGATTTGTCGCGGCCTTGATACCTGTCAATTGTGCTCAATTCTAGGCCTTCCTTCTTCCATGACAACAAAGTAGGATTTTCTCCCAGAACCCTTATTTGAGCGCGGAATGGACTAATGACTCCAATTTCGGAGAGATCATGGCCACAAGACTGCAACGCTCCCACTATATACCGAACTAGTGTAGCTTCTGCCCTATTGATAATACTTCCACTACCCTTACCCCCGATTTTTCCTTCAAGAGTTTCATACTTCTCTTTTCGATTGCTTGATTCAGTGGATCCGTCAAACTCTGAGAATTTTGTCCTCAAGTTGTCCGTGTCGACAAAAACGACAGGGCGATCTGGATCAATTATTGTACGTAGCCAGTCCGTGGGTTGTTGTTTGACAGATTTCGGTAGTAACGAAGGAAAACCAGGAAGGTGTAGTTGCTGCGATTTCACTTTTTCATCWCCGCATTTCATCCTACCACCATACATTGACTCACTGCTGATCTTGCAAATGTCTTCATTCATTCGATATTGCATTGTCAATGGGGCAATTGCATGGGGATGCTTCTCTGCCAACTTTTTAAGCAAGGAGACTCCATATCCACCACTCTCTGCAATTGCGCTATTAACCAATGGAGGAAGTTGTTTATGATCTCCGACAAGAACAAACGAGTCAGCTGCCGCCAGGGCTCCAAGTGCCGTGGGCTCATTCATTTGGCCTGCCTCGTCAATTATGACAACATCAAAAAACTGATTTTCTAGAAGAGCAGATCGAGGAAGGGACAAAGCGCTGACACCCACAATGCGGGCATTTGTAATTACTGTCTTCAATGCTGTTGCCGATGGATGTTCCACATCGTCGTGAGCCAACTCCTCGCAACTATTTCGATTATTCAATATTCTGTCTTGTTCAAGAGCTAGATGTGAATGCATAATTGGTTTCACACTTGTATGACATGACCGATTTTGTCCAATTCGAACCAAAGACGATACTCCCGGATTTGAGTTTAAAGGCTTCATTCCTTTTTCCATAAGCTTCAACATAATGTTGTCCACAGCGGAATGAGTGTAACCGGTGATAAGGACACGACGTCCTCGTCCAACCAGAAGACGAGCCAAGAACCCTAGAATTGAAGTTTTGCCAGTCCCCGGCAATCCTTGAATAAGTGTATAATCCCTACCACTCAGTACTTTTTTCACTGCCAGTTTTTGATCGTCATTGAGTAGATGAAATTCTCTACACAATTCTTGTAGGTTACATCCAGAAATATGAAGGTCAATGCCCTCAAAAAAAGAAGCATCAGATTCATCGGCAAATTCAGGCGTTTTCAACCTGATGACAATATCGCGAAGCCATACCAGCCTCCGCTGTCGTCTCTGCTCTAACTCGGTGCATTCTTCTCTATTCTTCTGGCTATAATCGCCAGATAAGAAATTGACGAGATTCCACCTCAACGTTCCAGTCCCCACAGAACGCGTGTTCATGTCAAGACGGAACAATACAGACGAGGATAAATTATTTCCGTTGGAATTTTTTTGCACCTCGTCTTGATATCGACTCACGAGCATTTCTACCTGGTTCAATTCATCGGAGGTCATCGATAGAAAAACTTTGTCGTCCTCGATGCGGTCAAGATAACCCTTTGTGACATGCATTTGATTCCGATGTTTCCTAGGTCCATGAGTAGTTCTGCTGAAGTCATCAAAAATGTTTCCATCTGTGCTCAATATGACGTATGAGCCAGGTGCTATGTTAAGTCTTTCAAGGGGAGATTGAGACGATGTCTCGAGCTTTCGTCGAAAACAGACCAATGCATGCGAAGTTCCCACTTTGAAAGACGTATTTGCATCGAAAACAAGACGAGATATTGATTCACCATTTTCAATTTCTCGAATGCGCGAATCTACAAGCCATGGTGCCACTATCTTTGGGTTGGATGCGTCTGCTTCGATATCAATTAACCTATCCCATTTCCGAAAGTATGTTAGATCTTCTTCTTTTAAATGTCCAGTAAACTGTGACAATAATTCGTGATGCCTTCCTGTATCAGTCGCTGGGTCACTAGCAGCATAAACCATGCACTCCCTGTTAGAAAAGCACCGTTTGCAGGGGTGTGAACTAGCTTTTAATTCCGGCAGATCAGCGGGCGGAGCAGGAAGCAGTTTCGCCTTCAGATACTTTTTGTCATCCTCTCGGTGTCCCTCGTCATAGGAAAGGGCAATTCCTCTAAGGCGTGATGAACGCTTGGAATCACTTGCCACGACATTTCTTTGAGTCATCAAGGTTTTTACCTCATTTAGCTGGGGCGAAACATGAGAAATCTGCTGTGACTTTTCGTTAAGGTATAACARAATACCGCCTGGGGCAGCCCCTCTAACTCCAAACTTTGTTTCGGATTGTGACCCAATCATTTTATTGTTATCGAGTTTAATATCTGCACCATATCGGCTCTGAAGCATAAAAGTGTAAAGAGAAAGTTGAGCCATATGCACATTTTGAATATTCTGATTGTGGCCTGTTTTTAACTCAAAGCACATCAACGAATGCTGTGGAGCAGCAACCACGGTTGGCGATGATGCGCTTTGCTGTTTGCGACCTATTATTTCGGATTGGGTTTCGAGAACAGCATCAATTGATCCTTTGAGTCCTATTGCTGCTGATACAATGTTCTCTTCTACGGAATGGACTCTTGTACCTAATAAACGAATGTCTGGATGACAGGCTGCACCCCCTACAGGCTTTCCGAGAGAAGATAGCACCATTACATCCTTTCTCAACGTTGTATATTGCCCTGCGAAATGTTGAATCATTGGAAGTATRTTAAGAATTTCGACTTCAGCCTCGGATTCGGAAACATTGCAGCCGATCAGCATCTCTGCTTTTTCTCTAATCAACTTCTTCATCACTTTTTGTGCAAATGATGGACTGAATTCTGCTGCCTTCATACATCCTTCGAACAGTCCGTGCCTCATCGTACCAACAACAGCTGACTTCGATGACAATCCGGTCGAACCCAATTTAGATTTCAAAGCAGCCCGTCGGTTACAAGAGGAAGCTTCGCTGATTATACTCGGTGATAAAAGCATATCTGGGTGTAACACCAGAATCAGGTCATCAATGTCAGATCCCGGCGGAGGGTAAGAGTTGAGGACAATGGGAAGAGCTGCAGTATCAGTTTCGAACTGGCCTGTCAGTGAACATACATGAATAAAATCACCTGGCGAGACTGGAGTGAAGGTCCATTCTCCGCAGAGGTATATCATTCCATCTTCGGGGTACTCAATATCTTGAGGGAGGCTAAATGAACAACTATTGTCTTCGTCGAGAACATAGTCATCCGATCTTTTGACCTTGCCATCTCTGTGAATCTTCTTTTCTTCCTCATGTATCTTCATCATTGACTCTACCCATCCAGCAACTTTCAGTATTTTTATACAATTTTTTTGATCGTTTTCAACGGCCAAGACTTTATACCTTGAAAATTTCATGAACGACATTTCTCGAGGTCTGATACCGCTTCTTCTCCGGTTGCGAACAATACCCGTAGGGTCCACCGATGCTTCGGGTTTCGAGAGCATTTTTTGAGTGACAGCCTGATCAAGGGAGTCAAAGTCGATATCCTCTGGAAAGTCACCGTAGTCGTCATCCTCTGTTTTTGTCGAAGTCAGATTCTGTGATTTTGACGGATCATTTTTCCATTCGTTTGAATGCTTTGTTGAGATAGAAGAGCGTACARATGATTTCGAATCATCATGTTTTATGTTGCAACACTGAGTAGCAACTAAAGCATCCATCTCAGAAAAATCGATATCGGTAGGAAAATCACCAAATTCGTCTTCCTCTTCGGGTGTCGAATTCTGTTTCGGTAATTGAATCATGTTGGAAGAGGTAACAAGTTGTGTTTTTTCGCACCTCGATGTCAACATATGAGTCGCCGAAGACGCAAGAATTTCGGTAGACGATGCTTCCCACGCTTGTGGCGAGGCCTTTGCAAGAGATGTATTCTTTTCTGTTCTTGATCTGCATGCTTGAGAAGAAACCATAGCATCAATTTGGGCAAAGTCGATATCGGATGGAAAGTCACCAAATTCATCAACATCACGCTTCGTGGTGTGCGAATCAAATGGTTTGGCTTTCGTGCTTGTATCCAATGTATTTCCTTGCAATGCGGGCGCATTCTCGTTCGTATTAAACCTTTTCGTCATATTTTCCACGGAATTCTTTCTTTCTGATGATTGCACTTGCAACATCTGCTTATTGTTTTGCCCTAGCGCTGGTTGTGTCAGGGAATCGATTTTCGCTAGGTCATCTTCAGAAAAATCAATATTGTCAAACTCTTCCAGTTTGTTGTGTTTGCATATGTCAACGCTACCATTCATCTTTCCTGCGTCCCTTACACCGTCGTTTCCCCTTCTTTCTGGACACGAAATGCGATTTACAGGCCGCGAATGGCTTGCTTCTACTTGAAGAACCATGGGCGACTCGTGTTGATTTGAGATTCCAGAATATATTTTTGGTTGCGTCTTTTTATGTTCAAATTGACTAYAGTGTCGTAGTTGCGGTATTATATTGGCGGAAGGTTCTTGCTTCGAAAGCGCCGATTGTGGCCTGTGTACTACCTCGGATGAMGTATCGACAGAATCGATCAAAGAACCCTTCGTTTGATCTTCAGTGGAACACGAATCCGTGTCTTTCCTCTCTATACTATTCACAGTTGTCGTGCGAATAGCGATTGCATTTTCGTCTACCGAAGAAAGAGGTAAACGTCCAAGCGGCCTTGATTCATTGGGCGAATGGGGCGTTCGGATTGCTTCGAGAAGCTCCGCAAAATCGTCCGGTGCAGTTGCCTCTTTGGGTACTAAAACATTTTGTGTATTCCTTCCATCCCTGGATGTTGGACCTGAATGTTTGCATATTGTAAGCGCATTATTTGGTTGTGACAAGGCAGAATCAGCCATGGAAGCCGATGGCAGGAGTGCGTCGGCACTGTTTGTATGCTCCTTCTGCGCTCGTGAATAATCCGTCCGTCGACGTCGGTGACGTTGGGCCAGAGAGGTAGCGGAAGACTTCGTTTTTGGATATGTGTGGTGTCTATTGAGTGTTGTTTTTGCCGGTCGTTTGCTCCCCTGTCGTATTGGTGTTGTTCCGAGAGGATCTGAAAACATGGATGACAAGTGGATAGTTCTTTTTGTGTCCGCGTTCACAAGTGGTTTCGAGTCAGTTTTCATTTTGAGAGAGTTTATGGTCCCATCGATTTCTCGCTCTGCGCATTTTTCTGCTCTATTTCCATCAGTATTGACTGTGCTTAGGAAAGAAGGATCGAGTTGTCGTCCTACACCCAAAAACAGGGGGGAATTGGTCGTCGCTTTCGACGAAGGAGTACTCCTCTTGTTTGCGTTCTTGTTGCATTTCGTACTAGACGTGCTGTTGCTTCGTTTCCTTGTGCTGCTCCTAGCGCCTTTCCTTCCACTGCTGGGCGGCATGGGAGACTTGAACATTTGATCCAAATCCTTGTTGTTGCTTTCGTCCCATTCGATCACATCTTGGGTCATCTCATTCAAATAGAGACATGCATCTGACTCGTCGTTGTCGACAGTAGCACGAATTTCTGGATCGTCATATCCGTCTCCATCCATTATGGTCTAGATTCAAATGCAACACCCAAGTCTGGTGCCCAAACCAAATATATCGAACGGCTAATGATGCAAAGTTCAGGAGTCAAAATTATCTTCACGACTATTCCTGTCAAGGAGAAGGGCGCTAACTACTTGTCTGGTTCCCTGTACCGCAACATCCAATTTAAGGGTTCTTTCTGGGAGTTTGCGCGACGTTTTCGTTGCTGTACAGCAGGTACCGTACCTGGTACTAGTACGAGTTGACCTAAGCAYAAGAGGAAGAAGGAGCACTACGACCTACGACACTCTTCGCACTGTACCGTACTACCATACGGTACCGTAGGACACGATAAAGCTTTTGACTGGGCGTTGGTCCATCGCATTTTTGGCACGAACTTTTAAAAAAAAGTGAAGTAGTACGGTACGGTACTTATAGATACAGTACCAAGTACCCAGCACGCATGTTTTATTGCTACTAGTAAGTCGTAGTAGTTGTTGTACGGCACAGTACTGTACCGCGCGCAGGATACTTGGTACGTACCAGTACTGTCTACAGTAGCATTTTGCACTTTTTGAAAGGGAGGGCTTCGTTTCGTTGTCCTTACAGTATCCCCCAATTGATCCCCTTTTATCTAAACCAACCAAAATGGACCCTCTCGAAAATTCCTAAATCAACGAAACCAGAAAGTTTGTTATCACCCTCTCTACGTTTGCAAGAAATCTCATTACCTTCAACGAAACTTATCGACCAATTCAAGGGAGAAGCGAAGTGACCAGCCAAAATGGGGAAGCGAAGCAAGAACAAAAACAAGGCAGCCGCTAAATCCACCGATGATATTGGCGAAGAGCGTTTCGCTGCCGCCGAGACCCGTCCACAATTTAAAGTTCTTAAAGCGAGCGCTTCCAAAGTCGTGCTCGATGACAGATTTTCATCGGTTCTGACTGATCCTCGTTTTCAGCTTCAAGAGAAGGACAAATATGGGAGGAAGAAAAAGAAAGGTGACAAAAGTGCGGCAAGGGAAAATTTAGAGTCTTTCTACGTCGTAGAGGGTCAAGAAGAAGACAAAAAGGACGGCGATGACAAGAAATCTGCTCATGGAAACGTAGAAAAGCCCGACACCGCCACGGACAATGACGAAAGCGAAAGCGAATCCGAATCAGAAGCCAACAGCTCGGGCGATGAGAAGGCAGAGGACCCCCGTTCGAGAATTGCCTACCTTACTGCCTTGTCTCGCGGAGAAATAGGCGCCTCGTCGTCATCGGAAGACGACGAATCTTCACAGTCGTCCGATGAGGACGAGGATTCGGACGGGGAAGACTCAGTCTATGGGACTGCGGGCGTCTTGGATCCGTCTACCAAAGAAAGTGAAGAAATCGAAATATCCTACGATTCTTCGCGCTATTTGGTAGTTACTAGCATGGACTGGGAAAACATTCGTGCCGTGGATTTGTTTTCCATTCTTTCTAGCTTTGCCCCACCCGGAGGTGTGAAAAAGGTCCAAGTATTCCAAAGTGACTTTGGCATGGAACAAATGGCGAAAGACAAACTATATGGCCCAACTGGTATCTGGCAAAAGAAAAAAACTGCGAAGCATAAGAATATTTTGAACGAGCGTTCAAGCGACGACGAAGAAAGCGATAGCGAGAATTCCGAATCTGAAGACAGCGAAGACCCAAAGATTCATTTTGAAGAGGAGAGCATTCATGACGAGACCGATTTTGATCCAGAAAAGCTGCGTGCCTACGAAGCATCGAAATTGAAGTATTATTTTGCAGTGACGGAATTTTCTCAAGCAGAATATGCCGATATTGTTTATCGCGAGGTGGATGGGATGGAGTTCGAGCACTCAAGTACAGCCATCGATCTACGAACTCTTCCGGAAGAGGCACTTGCGAGTGTGATTACCGATCGTCCTATGCGGGACGAGGCAACATCAATACCAGGAAAATATGAACCGCCAGAATTCATTGTAAGCGCTCTGCAGAAGACCAATGTAGAATGCACGTGGGATCAAGGAGACAAGGAAAGGGAGAAGAAGATGACAAACTATGGCAGCTCAAATTGGCACGAAAGCTTCGAGCAGGACGATTTGAAAGCCTACATTGCATCGGATGCTTCTAGTGACGAGGACTCTGAAGACGACGATGATGATGATGGCGGAAAATCTGGCAAGAGATCTCAGATGCGGAAAGCGCTAGGTCTAGATAGTGCCAGTGACAACGATTCAGACGATGATTCTTCTAGTTCTGATGAATCAGACAGTGACGACGACGACAAAGATGTTGGAGGAGATACTATGTCGAAAGAAATCAGAATTATACCCGGTCGTAAAAGTTTGGAAGACAGAATTCGGTCTAAGTTAGAACCCAAAGAACAGACGAAGGAACTTACTCCGTGGGAAAAATATCAGGAAAAACGGAAACAAAAGCGAAAAGAACGGCGTCAAGCTGCGCGCGGGAAGAAGCCTTCTGAAAATATGTTAATGAGTACCAGCAAAAAAGATACCCGATCAAAGGATCGAGATGACTTTTTTGCAAGCGATGATGACATGGAAGATAATAAAGGGTTTGAGTCAGCAGGGCGAAATAAGAACGCCAATCATAAGTCCTCTTCCAAAGCACAGAAGTCCAAGGAGCAACTTGAACTTCTATTGGCTGGCGAAGATGCCGAAGAAGAAGCCAGAGATTACGATATTCGTGGTATTCAACGATTGGAAAAAAATAAAGGAAAGAAGCTGAAAGGCGCAAGGAAACGAAAGGAAGCAAAGATTGCTGCAGAGGTTTCGGGTAGCAGCTTCAAGGTCAATGTGAAAGACGATCGTTTTAAGGCAGTTTTGGATGGAGCCGACGCGCGATTCGGTATTGATAAAACCGACCCAAATTTCAGAGATACGGCTGCGATGCGCAGTATATTGACAGAACAAACGGCTAGACGGAAAAACAAACGGCAGAAAAAAGCTCAYATCAAGGAAAGCGTTGTTCCGGATGTAGATGCGAATACTACGAAGAAGACGAGTGGAGCAAGTGCCCTCAGTTTCCTCGTACAAAAGCTTAAGACCCAAGTTGATCAGAAAAAAAACTAGAGCAGAATTTTCTTCCACCGTCCGGATATTTATTTCAGGCTTGTGCATTTGAATTTATGACTACAATGGCAGTAGCTTGCTGAGATTGATGTTATGCGAAATATTTTGTTTTTAGTCTTCACATCAGAAAAAAATTCATTCTTCGCCGAAAAGATTCTGAGCGGCTTTTTTGTAAAGTGAATACAGCAGTAAAAGTTTTACATAAAGGTACCCGTAACGTTTTTTAATTAATTTGATTGGTTGTTCTCTTTTTTTCTGTTCCTATCCATACCCGTAGTAATCCTAGGTACAAGACTTACATTTCACTAATAATATGCCGTATCGGACGGTACAGTCCACGCAGCACTTGAACAATCTTTGTGATTGTTAATTGGCATTGATACTTTTGATGTGTACTTTCGCTTAGAGAAGTGTTTCTGAGAGTAAGAGTACGGTACTGTACGTATCGTATTGGCAATGCATGTGCGTTCATTTTTGTTCTAAAAAATATGACCTCTTTGGATCTCCAACCAACACGCTTTACGCACTCATAGTGTGCTACCTGAACGATACGAGAACTCGTGCGAATTTTGATGCCCATTGCTGTCGACGCTTCAACCATTGCCGTTCGCTTCTTCCTGATTCTGTACCCCAGAAACGACAAGATTGTTACCACAGCACAAGTTCATCAAGCTCCCTTTAACACAAAAAATCATCATCGGAATTGCTCTTGAAATCTTTATGCCATCGACGCTTTCATAGTCTGTGGAATATTGCCAAGAAAAAATCTCGTCATCACACGAAACCCACTAATGGCACAACACAAGACAAGCAAAGTGCATAAATTATGACTGCTCCTATCCTGAGTACGAATATAAGCAGTGATGATACGGCTATTTCTCAGTCATCTAATGCTCCGGAGAATTCAGCGAGGGGGAACATTAAAGGTGTGTGTTCAGGCAAATCGTATGCGCGTTGATTTGTGAAAAGAAAGCATCTTGCGATTTTTTCTTGGAAGGTATGCACTTAAACTTGGTTTTTGTTTCCAAATGCTTCAGTCGCCGTGAGATTTCGTCCATTGATCGAGGATCCCGAGCAATATGACAGAATACGAAAAAAGAATGCAGAGAAAACAGCATGGAATATCGAAAAGGTGGGGGCAATGCATTTGTTGACTCAAAAAGGATACGGACCCAAGGTCGAGGGAAGAACATCATTTCAATTCGATCAGGTATTCGGCAAAGATTCACAGACCCCACTAGTATATAAGAGCATAGCGAGACCAATGGTAAATGCAACAATGAACGGGAAACATGCTACTATATTTGCCTATGGACAAACCGGGTCGGGGAAAACATTCACTATGCAAGGGGAAGGCAAGATAGGAAGTGGCAAGGCTGGCATCATACAGCTGGTAACTTCTGATATTTTCCGATACACGGGAAAGGGGGAAGCTTTGAAGCGAGACTTCAAAGTGAAAGTGTCTTACTTTGAGATCTACAATGAACAGATACGCGACTTACTCGCTAGTGACCCAGAAAACGCTTCGACGGACACGAGCAGCACAACCACCACTTCCGGTCGAGGAGTGACGATTAGGACCAATGCCAGTGGGGAAATCATTGTAAATGTTGAACAAAAGCGCGTGCATAACGTTGACGAAGCCCTTGCGTTGCTGGTTCAAGGCAATATGCATCGCACAGTAGGTGCGACAGGTATGAATGAACAATCTTCACGAAGTCATGCTATTTTTCGTCTTACTATAGAGAGTCGCCTCAAAACCAATCACCAACCGATTGAAAACCAAGATAATGAAATCGTGAGAGTATCCGACTTCAATTTGGTGGATTTGGCAGGGTCGGAGAGTTTAAAGTTAACGAAAGCCACAGGGAACCGGCAACGAGAAGGAGCCACGATCAACAAAAGGTACGGATGAATTTTTGAGCAGTGCTTGTACCGTACGGAATGCTGTTCGTTCTACCCTGTTCAGAATTACAAACACATTCTTAATTACTTCCTTTTTTCATGAAACAGTTTACTCGCATTGACATCTGTGATCCAATCATTGAGCCAGCCACTTAAGAAAAGGCCGCAATATATCAATTACAGGGATTCGAAACTCACTAGGATACTTCAGCCCCATCTGTCAGGAAATGCTGAAATGGCAATCTTGTGTTGCGCATCGCCGTCATCAACTTTTGTAGAAGAGACGAGATCTACTTTAAAATTTGCATCTCGAGCAAAATTAGTTCAAGTTGAACCGCGTGTCAATGAGGTGATGGATGATGGTGCAATGATTCGAAAACTACAAAAGGAGGTATCCGAACTCCGACGGCAACTGGCGTCGATGGAAATCGAGCTGGAAAAATCTCGAGAGAACATTTATATAGAGTCAACACAAGTGAATCGGAAAGATCATACAGTCATTTCACATGAAAGCAATGACATTGAAATTCATGGAAGCATGACCGAGCTTTCGGCTTCTGCCTCTGGCTTTCAGCTCGATGCAGCCGATCCCGACATAGCACGAAAAGCTATTCAAAGATTTTCGAGGGGTCGACTTGACTCGTTCGACCCCGAAGAATTTCTCKACTCTTCCGAGAATAGCACAACGGATACCAGTGATGACGACATTACACTGGAAGGGAAGAGAGATAGCTGTTTGCTGAAAACACCTTACGGAGTGGTCCCAGTCACGGTGGAGTCTTTCGACACTCCGCCATCGGTAGATGCGCAGAGCTCAAGCGGGAAGCAGGGAGGCCGCTCGAATGCCTCTCTGATCATACGGAGTCAAGTGAGTAGTCCCGATACAATTCGTGGTTCGAATGGGGAGAACCGTGGGGGGGGACCGGTATTCAGGTCTCGAGATACGATGAACGTTTCTCCGAATGGACGATTGCAAAACAGTCTGAGTTGGGATGCAATGGATGGAAATGACTACAGTCTAGTAAAAAACGGGGCAACCCGAGTGCATGCACTAAAAAGCTTGCTGATGAAAAAAAGCCCAATTCCAGACGAGGTGACAATAATAGATACGTTGGTGGTCCCGGGAAACAAAATGTGCCTAACCGATCGTTTGGAAGATGCCGAATCCCGGAACGTGTTTCTTGTTGAAAAATTAAAACTCTTAGAAGATGCAAATGAAGCGGGCGCGAGAGACCTCGAGCGTGCGAGGCACTACATACATGATTTGGTTCGTCGAAACACCGAGATGCAAGCACAGATGAAAGAGAGGCAGCGAGAGATGATAAAAGAAGATTACGAAAGAGGCGAGGTGATCGTCGAGCAATACTGGATTCTGAGAGCATCTCTATATTTCAGTGTATTCTTTTTCKTGTCGGGATCACACGAATATTTCTTGGCAACAGTATTCTTTGTTTGGCTGACTCTTGAGATGAGTGTCACTGCTTGAATTTATTCTCATTTCGCTCATCGCATGCGTTGGAATTTCTCGAACCTCAAAAGCTGCGTGAACAAGAGGTAGTTTGCAATGTGAAGAAAGGAATTGGTCCGATGTGGCGTTTTTGTTAATGTGGTTCGTCGCCTTCCTGATTCAGCTTATCGTGAAGCTGACTGGCACAATATCCGGACGTTTATCGATGCGCAACGTTAGGCCTTCTTCGTTCAAAACAGTTTCTGCAGTTTCCAAGAACTCTGGTGGAAAGTGATCCCGCAACATGTTTGTCATGTCGGGCGGAAGTGCATCAACAACAGAGATGCCGTTTGGTGTGAACGGGGTGGCCGGGAGTTCTAATTTTAATAGGTGAAGGCAAGTGCGTTCCGGTTCCAATCCCCATTTTTGTCTCCATTCTCGATTCGTTTTTGAGTTTCCGTGTGTCGAATCACCGATTATTGGGTGCGAGAGTCCGTTTAGGTGTTTCCGAATCTGGTGCCAACGACCGGTCTTGATTCTGGCCAGGACAAGGCTCGCTCTTGGCACATCCTCCAGGGCACCGTTTTCGTTCCCCTGACCGGCAATGAATCGAAAATAGCTTGTTGCGTTTTTAAGGGTACCTGCTTCGTTCTTGATCGGTCGAGAAACCTCGAACCATCCCTCTTGTCGGAAATCCCTTCCCTTGAGTATGCCTTCTCCCCGCACCAGAGCAAGATAGGTCTTGTGCGAGGAGGACGTTCGGGTCATGCTTTCTTGTAAAACAGCGGTCGCGTTTCCTCCGTTCTCGTCCGACCCGGCAAAACTCATCAAGAGGCACCCGCTGGCTCCGCGGTCCAAGCGATGGACGAGATTGACGCGTTCTCCGACGGCCTCGCGGGCTCGTTGGAGCATCGGGACCTCGGGCGGTCCCCGCTGCTTGGCGCTTCGTTTTTTGCCGCTTCCGCTCCAATCGCTCCGGTGGCAAAGGACCGACGGCGGCTTGCTGACGACGAGGTGGTTGGGCCCACGATCTAGAATGGAGACCGTCCCATTGAACAAATACGGTTCGTCGACGACCGCTTTCGATCCCGCGAGCTCCGATCCGGATCGGGGGTTCGACCGATGTGGACGGAGGGAACCACGTATTCGCTCGGTCCAAGCGCAGGCCACTGCAATCATAGCCAACAGGTTCAGCACCCGTAATAAGCAACAAAACCTCATTTTTCTCTCTCGCAGTTCTACTCGATAAATAATGTATTGCCGTGTGTATTGTGCATCCAGTCCGAGCAGTGCGCCGATGGGAGACAATCCGGCTGATGTTGTCGTTGTCATCGATTCGTAGATTTCGAAATTCAAACTGAAACAACGGAATGTAGGATACGGTACCAGGTACGGTACGGTAGGACGATCGGTGCAATGGTGAGAGGCGTGTGTGGTATTGGAGACGAAACCCAGTCCAGTCGAGTCCTGCCTTGCATCTCAACGAATTTTGGTTGGAATTTTGGTGGGAACATCTCATACTCTACGGTAGAATCAGAGAAGTACGGTACAATAGACCACGTTGGTACCGTAGAACGTAGGTACGTACAAATGCAAGACGAGTAACGTACGTATTCGTAGCGACGAGTGGGAGTATGTACTGGTACAGGTACGAGTAACTGGTACGAGTACTCGTAGATRCTGCTTGCTGATGGTTTTCCAWSATGTCAACTGGTACTGGTAGTACTGCTACTGTCATGCTGTTGCATCCTCGTTCCACCCCAGTGAAAGAAAGCACTTCCCGACGACAGAGGCCACTACGGGAACCGACTGCCTACGGAGTCTTGCGAACCAAACGGCGTACCACACAACAGCAATGAATTCCTCGGCGTCGAGACTGCGGATTCCAGCGCGCCGGTGGAGGCGGTGCCGAGCGGACCAACGGTGGCCAAGAACGAATCCGAATGCGAATGCGAATGCACCGGCACCGGCACCTGGCCCTTTTCCCCGCTTGCCGGTATGTGCGGGCCGGAATGCGTGTGCCCGGTGGTTTTCGGTCGACGCGTCKTCGTCGTCGTCATCGACCACGCTGGCCTTTGACCGGGACCTGAAGCGGAAACAACGGGACAACGCCGCGAGGTCCAAAAAGGCGTGGCGGTCGGCGCCACCGAAGGGGAGCGGCGAGAAAGGCGGCGACAACAACGACGACGACGACGACGACGCGGTGGACTACGATTATTTCCGGAACGAAATGGCCGCCCGGCTGGTCGACCGTTTGGACGACATCAAGCGGGCGGAGGGCTTCCCGCTGGCCCTGGACATTGGCGCGGGAGGGGGGCACATCTACCGGGCGATCTGTTCCGACGACGCCTTCGAGGGAGAGGGCGGGATCGGCGGCGTCCGAAAGATGGTCCTGCTCGATTCGAGCGCCGGCATGCTGGGCACAAACGACGGCGACGACGACGACGGCGACGGCGAGCACATCGAGGGGTCCCACCGGTGCGGTGCGTACAAGCTGCACGCCGACGAGGAGGAAGACCTTCCGTTTCCCGACGGGACCTTCGATCTCGTGATGAGTTCGCAGGCGATTCACTGGGTGAACGACCTGCCCAAGCTCTTCCGGGAGGTCCACAGGGTCCTCAAGCCCGACGGGTGTTTCATGTTTTCGATGATCGGGGGCGCGACGCTCCCGGAGCTCCGGGTCTCCATGGTGCTCGCGGAACTGGAGCGGGAGGGCGGGGTCGGCGCCCACGTCGGTCCCTTCGTCGAGCTCTCCGACGTGGGCTCCCTGATGCAGAACGCCGGGTTTTCCCTGCCGACGATCGACGTCGACACGGTTCGGATCTCCTACCCGAGCGCGCCCGTTCTGATGGAACACCTGCAGCGGATGGGCGAGGGAAACGCYTCCGTCCGGCGGCGGGAGCACACCGGGAGGGACGTCTTTCTGGCGGCCTCGTGCATCTACGACGAGCTGTACCCCCTCGGAGATCCGGGGGGAGACGGCGGGGGAGAGGTCGAGGCGACCGCGCAGGTGATCTTTGCCATCGGGTGGACCCCCCACGCCTCCCAGCAAAAGCCGGAACCCCGGGGGAGCGCCACCCACCGCATCGGAGACGTGGTCACCGTTACCGAGCACAAGGGGGAAGACGAAGATAAACCCTAGGGCGGAAGTGGCAGGTTCCACGGCCCCCGGTGCCTTGGTTGTTGCAGCGATGCAGCGGGATGGCAACGGCAATTCAATGCTCTTCCATATCAATACTAGTAATCGCAGGCCTTTCTCTAGAACCCGAGTTTCGCATCCACCGGTGGGGGGGAGCAGAACTAGAAGTGCGTAACAACCATGTCGTGCCGGTACAGGTGGTGCTTGGTTTGTGGTTGCAGTGATTGTTTTCCGGTTTTCTGCTCGTACGTACTGGTACTACCGTTCCTGCACAGATGTGATGGTACCGTACATGTAGTATATATTTATATGTATTTATGATAAGTACCGTACGTACTCTACCGTTACACGAGGACGTTGTTGTTGCGGTCATTTTGTTGCGTTCGATGCGATGATTTATGCCTCCAAAACTGAAGTTTGGGTGCACGCCAAGGGGGAACGTTATCCGAAAACAACGCAAGTAGAAGTGAACCTAGTGCTTAGTCGTACCAGCGTACGTACTAYTGTAGGCAGTACTCGTATCAGTTTAGCTACGGTACAACCAACTTGGCACAACAACCGCATCTCCTCGCCGCCGTCGGAAAGCTTTTCTTATTTTTTCATTTTCCGGTTACGAGATTCACATCAACCGATCTAGCACAGAAGTCCCCAGAAGGCAACCCAAAACCGCGGCCTCGTTCGTGGAGCAGCAAAGAAAAGCAAAGCAGAACAGAACAGAGCAACGACACGGCACGATACGAAGCGATACGATACGATACGATACGATACAAAAAGACGACCACCCCGCAATGCCCTTTCCGCCACCGCCCCCTCCGCCGCAGCAGAGGCAGCAGCCGCCCAATGCCGGCCGGTTTCCTCCTCCTCCCCCGCCGCCCCGGGTACAGCAGCAAACTCGTTCTCATTCGCATCCGCAGCAGCAGCCCTTTCCGCCGAGGCCCCCGCCACCGCCCGTGYCGGGGGGCCCACCCGCAACGAACGCGCCCGGTGTTCCCTTCCGTCCGCCACCGGGTCCGCCACCCGGAGGGACGATCCCGCCGTCGTCGAGGTACCCGGTTCCGCCGATGGGAATGCCACCGGCAACCCCGGGACGGTCCCCCGTCTCCGCCCCCCCTCCCGGTCGGTACGCACAGCCACCACAGCTTCCGCCACAACCGCCACACGACAATTACCAGCACCAACAACRGCACCAACAACAGCACCCGCACCCGCATGCCCCGCACCAACACCAGCGGCCGCAGCCAATGGTCARCGGAAGCCACCGAGCGTCCAACCACAWCCTTCCCCGCTGCCCACCGCTGTTCACGCGATCGTCCGTGGACGGCGACGAAACCAGCACGGACGCCTTTCTCCCAACCTACTTTCCCAGGGGCTGCTGGACCAACGCCGATCCCGCCGCCAACGAACCGGCACCCCCGGCCGATTCCCGCTTCCTCTCCCTGGACGACGGGAGCGCCGCCCCCGGTTTCATACGGCCGACCATGTACCGCCTGCCGTCCGACCGGCACGTGCTGAGGCAGGCCATCGGAAGCGGCGAGCACGACTGCATGGGTCTGCTCTGCTCGCCGATGGCCCTCCCCTCCATGGACCACCCACCGCCTCCCCGAGGACCCCTGCTGCGAGTCGATCGCCGGGGGGAGGTTGCGGAAGAAAAAGAGGGCGACCGGATTCTTCCCGACTCTGGGTCCGCCGGAAGAGTGCCGGTGGACTRCACCACCAACCGGGAGGCTCCCCCGCGTTGCGGCCGCTGCTATGCCTACGTCAATCCGTTTTGGTCCATGTCCCGGTGCAATTTTTGCCACAGGTCCAACCGGTYCCAGACCCAGTCGCAGCACGGAGACAAGGCCGGGACCGTCGACTACCCCGTGGAGGGACCCTACGTGACCCGCGAGACCTCGCCCGTAAGGCCCCACTGGGTCTTTTGCGTCGACCTGACCAGCCCAAAGGCCGTGGACTACGTAGACCTGGTCCTGGACGAGGTCTGGCCGGCATTCTACCGGGACGTCGTGCTGCCCCACACGGAAACCACGCAGGGACAGCACGGAAGGCGCGTCTTCGCTCCCCGGGTGGCCATGGTCTTTGTCTGCTCGACCGGGGTCTACATCCCGCAAAAGGGGGGAGCCGGGGAAGACGGACCGCTCTCGAGGGACGGATTCCTAGTCATGCCCGAGGTGGCCGACGGGGAGGCCTTTTCGCCGATGCCTCTGGAAGAATGGTCCTGGTCCCTGCCGGACGAATACGACGACATGCTGCACCTGTGGACCTCTCGGATCCGCCCGGTCCTGCTCCCCAGGCTCATCGACGAGAAGGTCCGGAACTACCACAAAAACACTGCCAGCACCAGCCAGGCCGAGCGCCTCGGGGCCTATTCCATGTCGCCGGGGGGAGCGGCCCTGGAATTCCTCGTGGACGCCCTCTCCGAAACGGGTGGCCGGGCCGTCTTCTGGACCTGGCGAAGGCCCAACTACGGAATCGGGGCGCTGGCGGACCGGGAACGCCTGGCGGGGGGGAACCAGCGGAACAAGCCCAAAGGGGGGACCTCCCTCTACATGCCCCTGCAGGATGCCACCCAGAGCCCGCAGGTAAAACAGGATCCGAACCTGAGGGAGGCGGCGGCATTCTACAAGCGGCTGGGGGAACGCTGTGCGAGGGCCAAGGTGGCCCTGGACATCGTGGTGCACACCGATCCGAGCGTTCCCCGGTCCTTCCTGGACCTCGCCACGCTCGGAAGGCTCTGCGAGGTTTCCTCCGGGAGGCTGATCTGGATCGGGAAGCCGTCCTACGGGGCCACCGCTGCCTGGAAGCAAGCCATGCTCGAGGAGGTCCTTCGCCCGTTGTACTGGAGCGGCTGGGACGCCGTCTTCAAGATCCGCTGTTCCCAGGGCCTACAGGTCAGGGCCATGGCATCGTCGGCCGGGAACCTCCTCGCGTCGTCGTCGCTGTCGAGCGACGAGGACGAGCTGGAATTCTCTGTCGTCACACCGGAAACCTGCATCGGGGTCACCCTCGAGCACCGCGTGGGGGGGCTGCCAAAACCAAACAACGAGAACAACAAATTCGCCTACGTCCAGACCGCTCTGCTGTACACCAATCCCTGGACGGGCGATCGACGCGTCCGCGTCTCCACACTGGCCATTTCGGTCACCGATGCGGCGACGGAGGTCCTCCCGTCGATGGATTTCGGGGCCCTCGCGGCCCTCCAGCTCCGGCTGAACCTCCCCCACCCCAACTATTCCTCGGCATTTATGTTTTCGCTGGACAAGAACGGTGCCGACAAGAGCATCGATCCGTCGTCCCCGGACCAGATCGGAGACCGGCTCCTTACCGACGCTCGGCACGGGATGCTCACCGCGATGCGCCAGGTCCTGGTGGCGCACCGCGCCATGTCCTCCCGGCACGGGGGACCGCCGTCGATGGCCCCGGCGTCCCTACAGCAGTGGCCGCTCTTTGTCATGGCGGCCCTGAAATCGCCGCTCCTGAGGCCCAGCAAGCCAAGGCAGGGGCAGCGATCCCTAGCGCCCTCGCCGGGGGGCGACGAGCGGGCCTACTACATGTACCACGCCCGGAGGGCATCCCCGGCGTGTGCCTCGCTGCTGGTCAGTCCGTTGCTCTTCGATCTCGGCGCCGCGTCCTTCGAGTGGAAGAACGCCGGATCCCGCTACGCCGACGCGACCGCCAACCTTAAGAACAGCCCGGTGGTCGCGATGCCGTCCCCCACCCCGGCATCGGTCTCGAATCTTTCCGCAGACGGAATCTATCTCCTCGATACCTGTTTCAATGCGTACGTCATCGTCGAAGAGGGCGCGGAGTGCGGGGACCAGGGCAGCGACGGGTTGTCCCAGGAGCTGGAGGAGAAGATCCACAACGCCGTCCAGCAGCTACGGCTGTGGTCGCAGGTGGGCCGGGAACCCAGGTGCCTRCGCCCGTCGGCGGGTCTCCCGGTGGTGGTGGTGCGCAAGACGGAAGACTTTGTGCAATACCAGGAACTACTGAAGTGGATGGTACTGGACGCTACCTCCCACCACCAGGACTTTGATTCGTTCTGCAGGTTCGTCTCGAACGAGATCCAGAAACAACTCTAACGATAGCAATGCAATCCCAATGCCATACAAGCCGACAACACGAAGGAGCACATGGCACGGCGAACTGCTCGGTTGCTTCCACCTGGCAACAGGCGTCATCCATCTCGCGTTTCCATGTTGAGGAACAAGGTTGATTCAATTCAAACCCAAACATCCAATTTCAATGATGCACATTAGAAGACCTCTCAATGCGATACCGGACTAAATTGTGAAGTCACATTCGTAGGCATCCCTTCCTACAGACGAAGTACCAATATATTTGAAACAAAACACTCATAATCTAGAAGTTCGCCTCTTCAACCTTTGTACCCATCTTAGTTTTCGTCTGTGCTGAGCATCCTTCTCTTATGCATCCGGAGGGATCTTTATTCTACCGAGTTTTTCGCAGGCGTACGTAGTCGTATGAAGAGACGTTGTTTTGGATTTACTAGCATGTTGTCTTCACTGTAGTAACTTCGCTGTACCTTGGTATCATAACATCAAAATATCTTACCGTCAAAGTTTTGGTTCTTGCTAGCATCATACGAAGTACAGTACGAGTACGTACCATACGTACGAGCACCGTGGCTTCGGAACAAATAATAGTAGCAGGCTATCATTAGCAACTGTAGTACCGTACGTACCGTAGGCTACCAGGTACCGTACCGTACGGTACTAGTAGTATATCTTTTCAACGCTCCCTATCATATTACTCTACATACATACTATACATACAACATCGTCAGAGTATTCTTCGTACCATCTCTTCACTTTTTTTACACGAAGAAATCGCACTATTATCATGCAGCCTTCCCTTTCTCTTGCTTTGATATCACTTCACGAAAACACACTTTGCTATCGCTGACTCCTTTAGCTGACATCAGGAGGGAGCGAATCATAAAACTTGAACACCCAAAGCACCGTCTCCTGCGAACTCTTCGAAAGCAAACAGCAAGTCTTGGCAGCAATGACAACGGTCATGGTTTCACTTTCGTGGGTACTACTGTTCGTTCTGTTCTCTGTAGGAGACAACGAGGCAACCGCCCTTGTTCAGCCCGACTACGGCAAACAGGTTTCAAGCGTCAATCCCGAAAACCGTAGAGGATTTCTGGCGAAGGTCGCATCGACGACAGCCGCAGCGATAGCGACCGCCAATGGCGTCGCCACCGAGAGTGTCGCTTGCGCAGTGCCATCGGGGATTGCTGCTTCGTCGTCACAGGTTATCGCCGATGCAGGTCTGGTCGGTGCCAGCAAGCCGGGGCTTACCCTTCCAYCGATCGGACTCGGGTGCTGGGCGTGGGGCGATTCCCTCTTCTGGGGGTATAATCCGAGCCAAGACAAAGATCTGAAAGAGGTATTCAAATATGTCATGACGCAGACATCGTCCCCGAACGACACGTCATCAAAGCTGCCGTCCTCGGTCTTGCTCGATACGGCCGAGGTCTACGGTCTTGGACGGTCAGAAACCCTCATCGGTGAATTTTCCAAGGATTTGTCAGCAGAAGACCWGGAGAAGGTTGTCGTAGCAACAAAATTTGCGGCCGTGCCCTTCCGAACAAAACCCGAAAACGTTGTGAAGGCCGCGCTTGGGTCCCTCAAACGTCTCGACCGGCCCATCGACCTCTACCAGATCCATTTCCCAAATGCATTTGCAAACGACAAGTACTGGGACGGCTTAGCTGACGCATATGAACAGGGCCTCGTGAAAAACGTTGGCGTTTCGAACTACGGGGTCGATGCGCTGCGGGCCTGTCACAAAGCCCTAGCCAAGCGGGGTGTCCCCCTCACATCAAACCAGATCCAGTACAGTCTCCTATACCGTTTCCCTGAACAAAACGGCCTGCTGAAAGCCTGCAACGATCTGGACGTCAAGGTCCTCTCGTATAGTCCCCTGGCGCTCGGCTTGCTAGCCGGTAAATACCGAAGCGTAGACGACCTGAAGAGCATCAAAGGTCCACGACAGAAACTGTTCGCCGACACCGTTGACAAGCCGGAGTTCCAGAAACTCCTGTTGACCATGGAAACCGTGGCTTCCAACCACAGCGGCGCAAATCTGGCGCAGGTCGCTATAAATTGGTGCCGTTCCAAGGGCACTATACCCATCCCCGGGGCTCGAAACCTGCGGCAGATCCAATCAAACTACGCGGCGCTCTCCTGGGACCTGAGCGCGGAAGAAATCGCCCTTCTTGATGACGCCGCAACACTTGCCTACATCGACCCTAAGGTTTCTCCGTTCCCTAGACAAGATAAGGACACCGGATTGATCATGTTTGATTCCTGAGTATTGTTCTACACCTGCTTGCTAGCTAGCCGTTTAAGATTAAACAATAATAATTGTGAAATGTTGATAGGCTCCTTCGTGTACGTGAATAAGTGGTTTACAATAAAGAGTGAGGTTATTCACTATCTACTCGTGAATGCTACAATTTCCGAGTACGTACGTACGTACGTACTCAAATTTGAAGAGATGGATTTTTAAATCACGCGTAGATAGTGATTGAGTTATCATTGAAATGGTCTGATAGTCATCGTACCAATTTTGGTACTGTACCAGTTCTTACCGTTCAAGGAAAGTACGTACCGTACCGTACTTCTAGTCATCATTCCTTCTGTCGGCCTTTTTGGAGCGAAGGCGGTCGAACTGAAACTTCCAATAAGATAGTGTAATATTACAGCCCATCAATKATCTAAGCTTGAAGACCACTGCCGCTGGAAGGAATGTTCCGACCGTTACAATGGGTTTTTGGTTTTTGTTCTTGCAAGTCTCAAAATAACACCGTACGGTAGGAGTACTGTACGTACGGGACATAGTTGTACTCCACGCCACGCCACAATGGTACTTCTACGGCTCGTACGGTAGGCTCATGCTCAGGTACGAGCGACATTTCTCATACTTTACGTACTGCAAGTACTGTTGCGTAGATTAGACCAATACTGTAGGGTGAAAAAGTGATACTTGCACCGGTCACAATAATTTTAATCTGTACGACTATATACTGCGCAATATTTGCTATAGGCTAGGCTACGCTACGCTAGGGACGCGAACCCCTCTAGTACGTACCGTTAGGTAGCGAAAAGGTTAAAGATGCCTCTTTATGCCTTGCAGGTTACCCCTGTAGATAATAGTCACAGACGAACAAACGACCAGCAAAGATTCAGCACCAGTTTTCAATTCAGCAAACAATCAGTACAAGTTTCTTAGTTTGTTCTATTTTTCTTTTCGCTGCTAACATCAAACTAGAAACGTCAGAAAACCAGCGATGTCATCCATCGAAGTAAGTTTTCAAAGAGCAAGCGGGAGCAACTCATCTGTGGTCTACGAAGCGAGAGACCACAGGCATCTTCATTGTTCAGCATCTATCGCATACTTAATTGTTTGCGGTTCCTATCCCTTGGTAAAAATGTAGAATTGCRAAGATTCGGGATGTTGTCTCACTTTGTCGATCGTGCAAAAATCTCCACTTTCTTTTCCATTCTCTTTTTTTTGGAATGATGCAACATTCGGCACGATAGGCTACTAAAATACAACAGGCCAAAGAAGCCTTCAAGGCCGGGAATTGGGCAGAATCCGCGACGGCCGTTACGGAAGCTCTCGGGGAGGAAGGGATTGTTTATTCGATGTTCCACATGCGTGCCCGCGCCAACTTTGAGCAACAAGATTATAAAGCGGCTCTCAGGGATGCACAGGCCATGACGGCAATCGAACCCAGTCAAGCCGAGGGGTATCTCTTGCAGGCGAAGATGTTCGGGTTGCTACAAAAGTATGGTGCCGAAGTAGACATCTTCCAGKACGGACTCAAAGCGGTCGATCCCGAGGATGAAAACTACGGTTTGCTAGAACAGGGACTCCACGACGCCAAGAAACTCTCCAAATCGGTTYTGAACGATCCGAAAATGATGGAATTGTTCGTGCTCTTCGACAAGGACAACAAGTCGTCTGTCGACTTCAAGGATGTTGCRATCGGGCTTTATCAGCTTACCAACAATATGGGGGATGCCCAGCGCCAGGCGGCCGCCCTCTTGTTGATGATTGACGTTGACGACCAGCGAACCCTTATATATGACAGGTTTGCAAAGCTCATAATTGCCATGTCGGCGATTTCTGGGATCGCCTTCGAAGACCTTTATGAGCAGCTCAAGAGCGCTCTGCAGGAAAATAGACCTATTCCCCAGAGACTCATGAGCTGCATCCAGGTGACGCAGAATGAACTCGATCTGGCTTGCGAAAACGTTAAGGACCACTCTGATGCCAAAAAGACGCTGTGCGCCCTATCCTACAGCCGAACGTCGAAGCTCTTCGAGCTGTGGGACGCGGACAGCAGTGGGACGATCAATTTCGAGGAATTGCTGGCAGGTTTACGAAAGCACCAACGGGCCGTCACGAAAAATTCGTTCAAGGCCACCAACGACCACGTGGCAGCAAACGCGAGCAAGCTGGACGATGTTGAAAAGAACGCTCTGATGGCCATGGCAAAGGACAAGGACAACAATCAGGAACTGGACAAGGAGGAATTCGCCCACGCCATGTCTGAGTATGCGGAACTCATCGAGGTCGACCTGCACGAGCTAATCGATTTCATGTGCACTGTGGCCTCCCAGTCAGACGMAGAGGAAAAGGTGTCGGACTACGAGGCTATGTACTCCGACGTAACGCCGTCTGCCTACAAGTCATGGACGATGAAAAARCAACAACTAGGTGGGCTTGGTACCATTGTAGACATGTGCGAAGAAGAAGAAGAAGAGGATGACTTTTAGATTTTATAAAGAGTGCCATTGTGCGATGCAAATTTCGATGGCAGAACATGAACCGGGCGTGATTTCTTTCGGCAACACAAGAATAAAATGATAATAAATCGAGTGCGGAACCACTGATCGCTGAGCGTCTTTGGGAATGAGCACAATATGGAGAAATCTGTTTTAATTTGGTTGGATCTGAAATTACGGTGGAATCGGAATGTCGACTTCTAGAGAACGTCGAAAGAACTCGTTGTCGGCATTCGCCAATGTGGAAACTGGAAGGTCGGATAAACAGCCCCTGACCAAACATTGGCTTCGCCTAGGTTCTAAATCAGTTTCAAAACGAAACTATTTCAATAATGAAGTACAAAAAATAAGCAATATCTATGATTCTGTTGATATATGGATGGATCGAATGAGGCAGCGTTTTTCTTTACTGATACATCACAACCTACGTTGGTATGCAACAATTGTTGCGATGTTAAACATAATTTAACACGCAAAAATGCTATACGCAAATACTATGCGGCTTTCCCGACAACAAAGAGGACCGCATAATCTTGTTGCCTCGCTCCCGGAACAGATGGCATGATGGCACCGGGAATGACAGGGAAGTCTCTAGGGTTTGCTGCGGTGGGGGTACCCGCTCCCTCGTCCCCCCCTTGGATGGGCTGGTACCGTGCCGATCGACAGGGGAGGTGTGTGACATCGTAGAGGGTTCCCTCGTCCAGCTTCCACCTCCCGCCTTTTTCGATCGTAAGAGTCGTCGTTACCATTCGCCCTCCGGTCACTAGGTATTTCCCCTCCTTCAGCGGGAAATCGGGTGCCTCCATGATTAGGCCGTGCTCCTCCAGCCACCAGTTCTGAGGGTCGAAGGTCCATCCTGCGGGGGCCTTATACTTTCCGGTACTGCTCTGGAGAATATCAGCCTTGTAGTCCTTCAGCCAGACCCCGCGCGGACCCGGGTCAACAGGCCAGAGCCCCCACTGGCCACTCTCCGCGATGATTCCTTCTGACGCCGAGGGATCCCCAAGCGCGGCGATGAATTGTGTGCGGGGAAGGCGCTGCATCCCGGACGGTGTGTAGACATTGGACTGAAAGAGGGAATAGCTCGCAACGCCCGAGGCACCGATCAATCCCGCACCGATAACGTTGTATATCAGGTCCCTACGGGCGATGGAGTCTGGATCCTGGTCACCCTCCACGTATGTTTCGTCGTCGTTATCACCGGCGGAATTAAAGAGGCACTTMTCGGCGCGACGGCCCGTGGCAACTCCATTGTAGAAAAGACTGTGTGGAGCAAAGGACTCGGCAACACCAGCCAGCAACAGGCCGCAGAGCAGCAAACAGAAAGAACGCATGTCTACCTTCGTTTCTTTTTGGATTGAAGACTTTCACTTATTGCTGCTCAAAATTCCTTTTTGTTGTCAACACGTCTGGGGATAAGAGCAGTGTTCCTTTGGTAAAAGATCGAACCATCTTTGCTCCGGGTCATGCCTCGAAGAACTTATTTATCATTTGGTCCCCGCCTTGTCATTGCTGACGTTGTCGGCCGATATTCAGGATTATTTTCAGAAACTCGAAAGAAAAAAGTATGAATTTTGGGAATTTTGGGAACATTAAGAAGGAGGGCGCGGGAAAGGTTCTTCAGTTTTCATATTTTTTCATACTTTTTGAACTCMAAAAACGTAAGAGCAAAAACAAAAACGAACAAAAAATCTTCATGACTAACGAATTCAATAGATGATCGGTGGATTCCATGATGAGTACAAACTTACTCTAAAATCTTCGACAATCCCACTCCAATCCTTCTTCCATCACTCGATCATAGGTAACCTTGAACCTTTTTGTATATTATCGAAAAAGCTAGAGAGAAAAAACGCATACTGAACCATGAATCGCCGTCTTCAATCACAGTGGAAACGGGCTCCGTTGGCTTCTACCGTTGCGCTTCTGGCGCTTGTCTTGTCGGGTAGCTGGCTTGGTGCGGTAGACTGCTGGTCATCCCACACAACAGAAACAACAACGCCGCCACCCGCTGGATCGAACGCACCACTGTCTTCCCATTTTATTGCGCAGTCCCTGTCGCGCCGGTCCATCCTGTCGACTGCTGCATGSGGTGTGCTGTTGGGAGAAGCAGCACTCGCCGCGAACCCGAACCAAGCCCTTGCAGAGGACGGCGAACCATCGGGTACAACAACCACAACCACAGCACCATTTATTTATGAGCGGAAGCAGACTGTTTTAAACAAAAAGGAACTAAGCTACCAGATTTCCATCCCTTCCTCCATGAAGGAGGGTTCGAAGCCGGTCAAGACCCACCTGGACGAAGTCAATTTCGTATCGGATTCCGTAAAGAGATACCAATACGGCATTACCGTAGATCCTGTGAGGATTTCATCACTCAAAGAGGTACGTACCATTTCGGCCGTTTCGATGCCTCCTGCCCTGCGGTAGGCTTTGCCATAAACCATGTCACCTGTTGCCTGTTGAGTTCGTGAGAGATGGTCTATATGTAGAAGAGATGAGAACGAAATCGATGTGATATTGGATCTAATTTCTTTGATTTTCGAATTTTTGTTGGTATAAACATTTCTGTGTATGTCCTCGAACGTGCTTCGACGTGTTTGTTTGTATGCGTTAATGGTTTCCCTTCGCCGGATGTAGTTTGGCACACCGGAAGAAGTAGCGGCGCGCGTTGTAACGGCCGAGGTCAACCGGGACGGGATTTTCGAGGTCACCCTGCTGGAAGACCCCTTCCAGACGACTTCGGATGGCACCGATGCCTACATCCTAAAGTATCTGTCGGTCGGAAAGCGGGGGCGAAAAGTTTACACGAACAAGATCGTCGTGTCCCCAAACCAGTTGCTTTACGTGCTCACGGCGCAGTGCAAGGAAGACGACTTTCCCGAGCAAGAGAAGGAGATCAAGAGCACTGTAGACTCCTTTCAAACGTTTTGATTTGTACGATAATCAATAGATCACTTCAGCCCTCTAGTGCATCGATGGAAGGAAGATGTTTTGATAAAGGCATGCGCTATGTCGACGTTTCGTCTACCTTCGGCTCGTGAAGGAATCCACCGTACCGAAAAGTTATAGTTCGAAAAAAGTATCGCATCCGATGATGGAAAAAGACAAGCTAGAATAAGTACAGTGTTTATACTGAAACAATGCAAAACAATGGACTAAAATGTTTCGTAGAAAAGATGGTTGGTAGCTAAGCTCCATCAATAGAGAGGTATTTGCACAATTTTTCCCTGCATTTTTCTTGTGGAGGGTCATATGATCTATTCGTAAAGAACACATATCCCACCGATCCTGTATCATATCACCATAATGAATGTTGATGTGTTCATTGGGTCTCAGCCTCGGAAGATGATCTCTTTTTCCCCTTCTTTCAAATCCAATAGCAATGTCACAGATTAGCTTTGACCCTTTATCTACAATCCCTTTCGCATCGATGACGATTCACTGAAAAGAATCCTGCCCAAAAAGTCCTTCAGCCGATGCGAGACTGGATGCATTCCACGCCGCTGCCTCGCCATCGACGCCGTGGATGATTGCTTGCATTTTTTTGTCGAGTCGTATCATTGCGACGTAGTTACTATTCTTAGTTTTTTCTGTTGGCCGATTTGCAGTGTTTATTTGATTTTGTGCTCCTTGAAGAGGACCCGCTTCTGAACGATAGGGTCGTACTTGACGAAGGCGACCTTGTGCTGCGTGTTGGAAACGTTCTTTCTCGTCGTGTAGAAAAAGCCGGTTCCCGCGGAGGAGAGGAGCTTGATCGGGATGGTCTTGCCCTTCCMGCGGGCCATCGCGTTTGCGATCGTCGAGTGCATGGTGCGTATTGGTTTGCCTGTTTGTTCGTTCGGTTGGCTCGGTTTAATTGCTCGTTTTCGTGTCGGTCGAGCTTTGTCCAATACGAAAGGTTTTGGTCAAGCTCTTTGCCGCTCAGCCTTACCGTACCGTACGGTACGAGTTTGCTGTAGCACGATAGTACGTACGTACCGGCCGGTAGTATGCTATGTTTGCAGTGAAAAAGTCCCCACCGTACGTAGGAGCTACGTACATCACGTTTTTCGACTAAATCATGTACCGGTAGCGGTACGAAGTTGCCCTTTGTGGCGAGTTGAGGAACGTCTGTTTTTGCCCGAAAGGAGTTTTTGTGCATGATATTACTATCTACATACGTACTAATCATATGATCTGAGTGTAGTATTCTGTCAACGGGCAACGAAGTACGAACTGTAAACGCGACGTAAAAAGGAACGTACGGTACGTACGAGACACGACGAGGTGGAGGAAGAATGATGGATTCCGGAACATCATGAACCATCTTACTAACCGTTAGGTTGCGTGTCAAAAAAGCCCACGAAACGACAGTCTCCCATCTTACCAGTAGTTTTCCACTGTACCGGACAGTGAGGTACGTAGGTATGCAGTATCAATAGTTAAGTCCAGAGGTTGAGCTAAGTGCGAAACTTCTAGTAGTTTTTCACGTGCCGCACCAATCGCAACGAATTCATACTCGTACACACATGTTGGTRCAATCMAAAGTGTACGTAAGTACAAAGCTAAGAGTACTAGAAAAGTGTTGGACTCGTAGTACTCGCAAAAACAACAACCTGAGCTGAAAAAGGAAACAGTTTCGCTGTCTCAGGACATCGCCACGGTCACGTACGGAAAAGTACGTGTACCTGTACGTTCATTCTCGGCTCAGTAGTCCTTGCATTCCAGCCGATCGATCCTCGAAAGAACAAGCAGCAAGAACGGGCGTCATTGCCATACAATTTGGAGCTTGGCTAGAAACTATMAAGCAGAATCCATTGTATCACAGCCATTCGAAAGCAGCAGCGGCACTCTTGGTAGCAGTTTCCAACCCCAGCCTCCTAGTATCATATACTCTCCCGCAGTTCTGTTCTGTCCTTTGTTCCGTGCCAAGAAATACAACTATGCGCGACCATTTCGATCCCCTATCGGTAGTCTACCAAAATCAGCATCACAATCTCAAGCGTATGTCACAGGGCCCCTGTCACCACACAAGCACTTCCGTCGTTCAGGAGCACTTCCACTCGGAGAAGCAGCCAAACGGATTCGACGCCGGCGTTTCGTCTCAGGACGCGGCTCCCGCCGCTTTTGAGTTTCCCTCTTGGAAGAGCAACATCTATCCGCCCCAGAACGACGAGAGTGGCAACATCCGCAGCAATACACATGCACACACACCGGGCACAAAGCGAACCAGCAGGAGCGAGAGAGAAGAGTTCCTGGACTGCAATGTTTTGCAGTCCTCCCTGAAACGGGTCCGGCTGTCCCACTGCCCGGGGGAATTCCGCCTCAAGCGGGACCTGAAAACCCTTGACCCAAGGCAGTGGAGCGCCTCGGACGAATCAAATGCCGTTGCCTTTTCATCGATCACCTGGATCCACCGATCGAGTGGGGCCCGCCTGGCCATGGTGGACTCGCTGCGGATATGTCTTTTTCTTCCTGGAACAACCATGCATTCGAACRCGAACCAACAGCAACAGCAGTTCCAACACCACGCATCGTACCACCGCGATTACCGATGGAGGATCATGGTCCAGCTCCCCCGCATGTATCCCCACCGTCCACCGGAGGTGACCCGCATCGAGGGTCTTTCCCTAGAGTCGATCGCCATCCAGGAGCGCCCCCCGGGGGAACCATGCGGCAAACACGCGCCATTACAGGTGCACGATCACCGGGACGATCCCTCCTTTTTCACAGAAGAACAATTGGCTAGATCGTCCTCTCTGACCGGAACGGTGAACACGAATGCAAATACTATCAAGAATGCGAATGAGAATACCCGTGACGCAAGAAAAGCACTGGAGTGGAACGAGTGGTCGCCCGTTTCCGGGCTTGGGGAATTACTGGACTTTTTGCTGGTTGCTGCGGCATCCCATCCATCCACGGTGGTCTCCAATGCCGCGGACAAGAGGAGGATCTTTGGAACGGTGTCGTCGTCTGCGTCTTCCACCTGGGGCAACGGGCACGATCCTGCCGGTGCCGACAACAACCATGCCAGTCACAACAGGTCCAACCCCTCAGTGYTCTTTGGCGGAGGTAGCAGTAACCATGCGGTGATGATGGAGGAAACCGAACCCAGCAAAGCAAGGGAAAGCGTCGGTGGCGCGTCCTTTTTGCTGCCCAACCGGTTCGACGTCGGGTACGGGAGGTACGGGTACGAAAAATACAACCAGAATCCGGCCTCCTTTGCGGGAGCARGCAGAGGCACGAGTGCGGACACATCCACAAGGTCAAACACGAGCTTGGGCGCACGTCTTCCGGCGAACACCATAGCATACCGGGATCACCACCACGACGAAGATGCTGGCATGGAACTCGGTTAAAACCAAAGCGAAGTAGGCAACGGTCAATGCAAAGAGTGGAACAACAATAAGGCAAGCGAGTAGCTCTTTGTTCATTTCTTGGGAAGGGGGCGAGATGGSGATTGGAATCAAAGCGAATCATTCGAATCGATCCCAACATCAAACAGGGGCGGGAAAGTTCGGAACCACGGGAAGGGAAATACATATTGCTATCGAATTGAATAATAGAGTATTATACTAGTGAACGAACTGAATACGAAGTATCAAGCACGTAGTAGTCGTAACTGTGAGACTCGAATAGTAGGAATTAGTGCGCAATGCAGCAATGTTTGAACAGCAAGGACCACAAGTTCTTTCTCTTTGTTCGCAAGTACAGGCATCTTTGTAGTATGAGCAACAGCAGTAGTTATGTATTGTAAACAATAATACTAGTCAAGCTTCTTGAAGAGTCCCTTTGATATCTTTACGATTCGAGTAGTAATACTTGTAGTAGTAGTCGTCGTCGTAGTAGTAATAAGAATTGCTGATACTAGTACATTCTTTTTGTTGGTATAGTATCATAACAACGTCACACAAACCTGTACTATGGTTTTTTTTTTTCCTGGGTGCATGAAATAAAATTCGCGCGCGTATTTTGTGATGCTCGCACGCAATTATCTGGCTGTTTTCCTTGGAACATGTTCTCGTACCACTCATTTCTCATGTGCATGTGCATTGTGCAAACACAAGAATTCTAGAGTTCTGAATAGATCCCAATGTAGATTCCGCTACTGAATCTACATGAGGTTCCTACTATTNGGGAATGAGAGAACATACCATTCCTACCTACATATCATAATATACTATTCATATATACAGATCATACGATCCTTTGGTTGAGGATCATAAGAGGTTTAAGATACTATTCGAGAATACCTCACGAAGAATAGAGATGTCACGAGTCCGGAATAGAGAACCTCCATGTAGAATCCCTACCAGGTCTACATGAGGTTCTAATTGGAACTTCGGAATTCTCGTGAACGCGCTTGGTAATCTTCGAATAATTCTAATCTTATAATTCAATTTTCATACACACTTAACACCTACTAATAGTACACGTAATCTCGTGCAGAGTATGACATACAAGTACTATTGCATAGTACTACGAATACTACRAGTAGTACTACCGAGTACCGGTTCATGCAAAGCAAAACCCCAAGCAAGAACAAGCAAATCACTATAAAAAAACAGCAGCACAGCAGCAGTAACAAGCAAATGGTAACAGCACAAGCGCAAGAAYGCAACAGGCGTACTTGTCCCTGTAAATGCAGGGGGGGGRTGGTGAGGACGCCTTCACGAGATGTGAACCAGCCACAGCAATKGAGTAGATTCCATAGGATTCTACTGGAGCTTATGGATCATGTACATGGAAGAGTGGATGAAGGAGGCTCTGTTGAAAATGAGAATTGATTTCHGAATGATACACTACTATTCACGCCAAAGCAGCTAAGTCTCCTAACACCAGATCATATCTACAAGTTCTTTGCAAAGAAAGTGTTTGGTAGGGAGGATCCTGGTGTGGATGATAATCCTAGTACTGAGGGAAGGAGTTCGTTCTTTCATGCCAAACAAGCTGCACAAATGGACTGTTGTTGCCGGTGTTGGAAGTGGAAATCCTACAGAGTCCCAGCAAGTTAATGATCTGATTGCAGCTGTTATCAAGAAGGAAACTAGAGGCCTTGGGGGGCAAGCAAGTAAGATGGATCAACCTCTTATGAAGGATGAGTTCTTGCAAACCCTTGAACTAATGGGAAACCACAWGCATCTAATTAAAAGACTTCAATATCTTGGAATGATTAAGTTTCAGTTTCATCTGATTGGCTGGAACAATGATACAGAACATGTTGGAAAGGACAGCTTGGAACAATCTTCTGAGTTTCCCCAGTTCCTTACAGGAAAGATGGAGTGGTCAAAGAACATGAGAGAAGAGAGGGAATGTCCAAAACAGATCTTGCTTGGATCCATGGATCATTGCTCTTGCATTATACTGGGGCTTGCCTTGTACTATCTTGAAAAGTGGTGTAAAGGTGATGGAGCAGCAAGTCAATGGCTATTCACTGAAGGAATTACAGATAGTAGATCACTACTAAAGGATGTTGCAAAAGAGGTTAAGAAAGGGATGACTGGATACTCTAATTTCATYAAACGCTATGCATTTAAGAATCCTGTGTTTGTTTCTGAAAGACCACCTTCAGAAGGCAAGGTTGGCACTCACTTGATTYGTAAGTTTAGCACAACTTATGCTAGACAGTGTGGTTGCTCAAGGGATGATGTTGATTATAGAGCAAGATGGAAGTCTAGATGCCAGCAGGACAGATACACTGACACGCAGCTTGCCTGGCCTGATATTAACGTTGCTAGTAAGCTATGCTTTGGAGGAATCTGTCTGTACAAGCCCCTACAAGGAACAGGAGTCACTGATGAATGGCTTGATTCTTCACGCAGTTGCACCAGCAATAGCAAATGTGTTTGGTAACCAAGTGGCAGCAATTCTAGGAAAGGTGTTGCTTTGGGCTTGCTGTGATCCAGCAATGCAAGCATCCAGCTTGATTCCTGAGGGCGTGAAGAGTGATGTTGTTACTTCTTGGTTCAACTCAATTACAGTCACGGTCCTCATAGATTAGATGCTGATGTGAATCCTATCAAGCGTGTTGGGCTGATTCCCACTGARATCAGTGGGTAGGTCCACTTCGATGAGCTTGCAGATCCAGATGATCCTATAAATCAACCACCTGCTGTTGACCCAAATGCCATTCAAAAAAATASAACCATGATGCAACAACAGGCTCAAATGATTCAACACCTTGCACCTAAAAACAGAGCTTACAGTCCAACCATCAATAATATTATATTCAACCTTGTGAACTAGAAGAGGCRCTATGTGGCCAAAACCATAACTTCTCTRGACTAGGGAGAAGAATGCTCCTTGTTGCTCCAAGGGACAGCACCTCCCTCTGAGGGGTGTTTGTGGAGGAGCAACCATATTCTGTGAAAACYGACAAGCCCATCAAGGCCTGCTGGGGATGGAGTCAGAGGGCATACTAGAAAAAGTTGGTTCAGAGTTTGGATGGATAAGAGTCCTTCCATGATCATTTCAAAGTGCACTGCCAAGCCAAAAAGGCAAGTCCCTCTGCAGTAGTCAAGGAAAGGAGTGCCAAGCACACTGCCAAGTCAGTTAAGGCAAGATCTCCCACAATGTGCAAAGGCGCATGTAGTGAGCAGTCTTAATTGGGGTTTGGGGTGTTGTTGTTGCTGTCCAACATAAATGTCAGAAACAACAACATTGTTGCAAGAATCTTTTTCCAGTCAGTAAACAAGAACACTGGAACTGCATGGAGATGCTAGTAGGGAATCTTCTGTTAAACTAAATGTGATGTAGCATATACTCTGGGCATTGTTCTTTGTTACTGTTGTTATTGCTGTTGCTGCTGTTGCTGCTGTTGCTGCTGATGCTGATGCTGCTGATGCTGGAAGTTAAGGCTGGTGGTGAATCTTCTTTAACTAAATGTGATGTAGCCTATACTACAGGCGTCTTGGTTGAGTAGCCTAGTTCTGGGGGCTGGTATTGTYGCTGTTGCTGTCCAACACTAATGTCAGAAACAGTAACATCTTGACTGGAATCTTCTTATTCCAGTCGGTAAGAACTGGGGATGGATCCAGCTGATGAGGCAAATTGAAAGCAACTAGTGTTGGGGGAATAGAACTGRGAATGATACTGAGTGCATCAGCATCATCTTGATTGGATTCCTTGGTTGGTGTTGCTGCTGTCCAACACAAATGTCAGAAACAACAACATTGAGACCAGAATCATCTTCCTGTCTGCACAAAATTATGGGTGTGTACTTTGCTTTTTAGTGTATAAGAATGATAATTATAAGATTAAAGATTATTGTGCATGTGCATTGTGCA